AAAGCTTATGTTTTGATTGATTGATGTATGCTAGAGCAACATTTATTACCAATGCGAACGACACACACCCACATCTTTATCTACACACCCTGTTATGCTTGATGAGACCCAAGTTAAATCCATACTCTAATGATATCCAATCGGCGCTGGTGATTTGTTCAGCTCATGCCCCTGATAGTGAATATCCTGCAAAATCAAAAGCAACAAAAACCACCATTTTTTTATCAGCATCGGAAGGCCAGAGGCAATTTCGAGTGTCAATTAATCAAACACCACAACCTAACCTAAAGTCCAATGATTTAATTTTGAGTCTGTTGGGACTCAGAATTTAAACAAAGGATGCTAAACCTTTCTTTTCTTTCAATTTTTTAGGCCAAGATTAAATTTCATCAATCAAACACCACACAATCTAATCGAGAAAGATTCACGATTCAATTTCGAGTCTATCGAAAACATATAAATTTACAAACAGAGTCAAATAACCGAGGCAAAGTGGTTGAGTCTGTTGGAACTCAGGATTTCAACAAAGCCAAAATTTAATTTAATCAATCAAACACCACAAACTCTAATCCACAAAGTTTCAAGATTCAATTTCAAATCGATAGAAACGTATAAACTTATGAACAGAGCCAACTCACCGAGGCAAAGTGGTTGACATCACGATGGTGAGCCTCATCAGCACGGACAACCATGACAACATCACGAAGGGTGGACCCCGGTGGAAGGCGCCAGTAGTCAAGGGCAATAGCTGGAGCTGGCACGTTTTCGATTGTTCCTTTGTCGAGCTCCTTTAGGAACTCAGTATATGAGTGTATGGCCTCCTCCTCCAGGTAGCCCACAATGCGGTGAGCAAGCTTGGGAGATGCAAGGTAGGCTGCAAAGTAGGCATTGAAAAAGACCCCTTGAACAGCAAACACCAGGGCCCGCTCATACCACCTCGGCTTGGACACTTCCATGAAAGTCATCAGATGCATCCTTTCATTTTCAGCTTCTTCCAGAAGGGCCTTGATCCAGCCCCCACTGTGCTCGAAACGCCTCAGGGATTTGCAGTGGAGGAGCATACCACCCACCATGCCCGGGACTGCCGCCACTGTCTCCAGCATCATGGCACGACATCCATATCGCCTCTGTCAATTACAAACAAACAGATGATGATGATGATGATGATGATATCTTAACACTAAATTCCATCTTTTTCACCTTCTATTAGACTGTCTAATGGTTAAGCAGCCCCCAACAAATATGCGGGCGGCTCATACTTTGTATTATAATATAACAACTAATAAATACGACATTTCATAGTATAAGAATGCCTTTTTTTTAAAAAAATAAAGAAACCATTGTAGAAACTAACACCAGCATTTATGTTGGTAAAATTGCTTACTATTTATTTAATCCAAAAGTACTGTCTTTTCATCAACTACGGTTACCTATGCATAATTTGGTAGATATCGATTTCAAAAACCAGATCCAAAATCTTGTGACTGCCAACACGTGACTGGCCTAAACTTGTAATTGTAAAGATTCTGTCCAAAAACTTACCGATCGTCTAAAACTAAACCAAGAATCATTACCACAATCTTCACACATTACACTTCTGGGAAAAAAAAACGACCAAATAGCATACAATATATAACGCAATTAATTTTATTTTTCCCTTTCAAGACAACGACGGTTTTCAAAGTCCAATTATGCAAACATGTAACGAGATAATGCGCACATAAACTGAAAAAAAAAAATTAAAAAATTAAATTATTTCGGTTTCAAAATAAAATACCTGGAAAAATACATCAGTAGGAAACCTAAGGGCCTTGACTGTCCAATAGGCCATCTTGTCCAGAAATGTAGCCGGCGCATGATGCTTTTCCAGATCAATAGACAGATCAGCCTTGTACGTCTCCCATGGCTTCATCATAATCCCAAAACCCAAAAATTAAATTTGGATATGCACATCAATTATATCTTAAAATAACTAAACCACACAAAATAATATGCAAATATCATTAATATTAATGCCAACGAGTATTAGTTATTCTCACCCTAAAGCTGTTCCACCTCCATTCGGATCCATCCTCTTTGGTGACCTTTGGAGGCTCCACGCCCCAATAACTCGCGATCGCCTTCTGACGGTCATCCCCGCCTCCACCTGCGGCGGCGGCGCCGCCGCCTCCCGTCTTTCCGCTGTCG